TCGTGAGATTTGTGATCAGACGATACATGGATGTGAAGCCGATCTAATCCACCTCTGCAAAACTTCAGGTTAGCCGTGGTCAGCGCTCTAAACGTTCTGAAAGCGTTAGCTTGTGTAGTTAAAGCAAGTTTTTATTGCTTCACAGGTATTTTTCTTCATTTTAAAAAAAATAAAATCAGATTGAAACATTCATTTTGTATCATGATCTAATAAATTCTGGTATAAAGAACCTCGGGTCAAAATCAGGCATGTCAGGATTTTTAAAAATCAGTTATTGACCATAAAGCTTTAATTGGGGCTCCTTTAAAAGTGTGATCCTCTCGATATCACTAAAGCTAAAAGAACAAGTTTGTTTTCAAATCACTGTTGAAATAAAGCTGTGAAGGAAAAAAAGAGAGAATAATTAATGGTTACTGTGCCTGCTCATATAATCAGTACTATGTCTTCAGTAGAGGGACCATTACCACTAATCTCTGTTACTCTGATAAAGGCCTGAAAACATTATCCCATATAATGTGTTTCACTTAATGAATTGAAATTTTAAAATGCATTTTCTATATTATTATTACACCTAAAATTTTAACTACAATTTTTTTCTGAACAAAAACGACTTTAATTTTTCACTATTTCAAATATTCAGCCATATAAAGTGGAAGTAAAGGGTTTCATCACTGAACTAAGGAAATATATTCCCCTTAAATCCTTTTTAACTTCCACCTGCTGAATGTTATACAGCATCTGCACCCTAAATGCACCAGGGAGCGTTATCACAGATCCTTCCTCCCAGCTGAAAGGCTCTAGAACCACTGTTCCAAATAACCTCAATAAGTTGTTACATTCTTGCTGATTTTGCACAGTTTCTTAGTCAGTTAAATAACATGCTGCTGTCATTTTGCACATCTCTTATGTTGCTATTTTCAAATATCCATTACTGCAAAAATGTCCATAGCTTCATATTGGTTAATTTATTCTCCAGGTGCATGGTATTTATATTGTTAAAACACTTTACAGTACAGTATTTTGCAATATTATGTTATTCTTATACATTATTCTAAGGTGTGACCATTTTTCTATAATCTTTTTGCTGCTGGAAACACCAGAATTCCCCCACTGTGGAACAATAAATGGATTTTCTATTGTATCTTAAGGACATTTTATGTGAACATTTCTTATCTGCTCATTGAAAAGCATCAATAATCGGGTCTTTCACAGCCTGTCCCTCAGTAAACTGAAGGAGTGCATCGCTGTCAGAGACCGCCTGCTGAGCCGGAAACTGGAGGAGCACAAGGTAACACCCACAAACTATTCAANGCACCCTAAATGCAGCAGGGAGCGTTATCACAGATCCTTCCTCCCAGCAGCTGAAAGCTTTATAACCACCACTGTTCCCAACAACCTCAATAAGTTGATACATTCTTGCTGATTTTGCACAGTTTCTATCTTAGTCAGTTAAATAACATGCTGCTGTCATTCTGCACATTTCTGATATTGCTGCTATTTTCAAATATCCATTACTGTGAAAATGTTCATCCTGGAATATTGGTTATTTATTCTCCAGGTGCATGGTATTTATATTTTTAAAACAAGTTACAGTACAGTATTTTGCAATATTATGTTATTCTTATACATTATTCTAAGGTGTGACGATTTTTCTATAATCTTTTTGCTGCTGGAAACACCAGAATTTCCACATTGTGGGAGAATAAATAGATTTTCTATTGTATCTAAAGGACATTTTATGTGAAAATGAAACATTTCTTATCTGCTCATTGAAAAGCATCAATAATCTGGTGTTTCACAGCCTCTGTCTTTCATTCAGTTCTTTCCTAACAGGTCCCTCAGTAAACTGAAGGAGTGCATCGCTGTCAGAGACCGCCTGCTGAGCCGGAAACTGGAGGAGCACAAGGTAACACCCACAAACTATTCAAACAGAAGTTCAGGCATGAACAGTAAGGGAACACCAGCAGAGACCAACAGCTCCCCCTGCAGGCTGCAGCGATCACTACAGCTCTGATAGGCCAGAGGGGGAGACTTGATCAGCTAAGCTTTGTGGAGCATGGGATTTTATTTCATCTCCATCCTCTGTCTGGTGTTTTACAGGCGGCTCTGAGCGATGGAGATCCTCGTGACCTCCTGGAGGCCCTGCTGAAAGGTCAGACAGGAAGTGGGCGGGGTCAGAAGACACAGGGGTCAAAAGAGGAGGGGATAACAGACGACCATGTCCTGATGACAGCGGCAGAGGCTTTTGGAGCAGGTGTGGAGACGACGTCCACCACTCTGCTGTGGATATTGGCCTACCTGCTGCATCATCCTGAGGTCAGAGAGCGGCGATGAAACGCCGTCTAGTTCCAGCCAGAGACGGGGGACCCGGAGCCTCTGGTACCAACATCCCTGGGTTTCCATTGCAGGTCCAGGAGCGAGTGCAGAAGGAGCTGGACGAGAACATCGGCTGTGAGAGAGCGGTGAGCGTGTCGGACCGCGGGCGGCTGCCGTATCTGGACTGCGTCATCAACGAAGGCATGAGGATCCGCCCGGTCAGCCCGGTTCTGATTCCCCACACCGCCATGACCGACAGCAGGTAAGGTCTGTTAGCTCAAAGCGTTGTCAAATAAGGGTTCACAAACTTGTTTTCTCCCGCAGCGTTGGAGGGCACGCCGTGCGCCGTGGGACTCGTGTTCTTGTCAACATGTGGTCGATCCATCACGACCCCCGGCACTGGGACAAACCCGACCTGTTCAACCCAGGTGACTCCTTGGGAAACACTCTTTACAAACAAATCCCACAGAAAACTTCTTCTAAACCTTCCTCCCCTTTAAATGCAGATCGTTTCCTCGACGACCAAGGCCGACGAGCCACGCCCTCGTGTTTCCTGCCATTTGGGGCAGGACCTCGGGTTTGTGTCGGCGAATTGTTGGCCAGGCTGGAGCTTTTCCTCTTCCTGTCGTCTCTGCTCCAGCGAATGAGTTTCAAGCTGCCAGACGGGGGTTCTCCGCCAAACCTGCAGGGGCGTCTCGGTGTGGTCCTGCAGCCGCTGCCTTATAAGGCTGTAGTCATTCCACGCCCAGGATGGGAGGGCGGGGTTAAATAAAAAGGGGAGTGGCTTAAAGTCAACAGAAAAATGTTGCTAGCTCCTAGCTTGACCAAATTTTAACATAAGAATTTTCAAAGAATGCTAATGTAGTTGGATAACTGTCTTATTTTTAACTTTTAATCAGATATTTTAATAAAAATTAACATTTGTAGTTTAGTTTAATATTGCTAGCAAGTCCGCTAACTTTTAGCTATTTTGTTTTACAACTTTCATCAAGGTTCTCAGCCAATCTGAAGAACAGAAAACGCTTCTATATAAATGTTTGAAAAATTGTTCTCATTTAATTAAGATAAGCTTTATTTGTCTCAGAATGCAGACAAATTACTCATTTCACCAGCTGTTGGAAACACAAATTGGGTTTAGATAGCTAAGAAATGGACAATTCAAAAGCTTAATGAGAAGAGGAAGTTATATGAATGTAAATAAATCAGAAATATGAAGTTGAAAAGAGCAATATTATCCCTTGACATGCCAGTAAAAAAGAAAATCAATGTATTATAGATATTTCTGAGAACTCATCAGTTTTATGTTTTAAGTCACAAATTGTGAGACCTAAAGGCCATGAGGAGTTATAATCATTTATCATAAGCAATATATGTCGAATAAATTCCAAGTAAACTGTTATTTATTTCCTCTATAAAGAGAAGAAGGGGCTGAAAGCTGTTACGGGCCATCCTTGGTTCTCAATCTAATAAAAATAAAGATTATTCTACTATCTCTACTGAGTGACTTTATTCCTCTAATGTTTTATTACCATCAATGTAATCAAAGTGGTTCAACATTTAACAGACTTACAAAAGTTTAGATTCAACAGTTTTATTCATTATATTTCCACACTTTTAGAACAGGCTGGTTTAGTTATGTCACACATTCATACATACATACATCCACACCATATATTACTTTTAACAGTACTAACTTGTGTTTGTGTTCATTTGAATATTGCAGGATTTTAATGTTTTATTTTAAAACTTCACTTCTTACCCCCGACACTGAGGACAGGAACCCCGTGAAGACAAGAGAGAAGATTCAATAAGACAGTTAAAATCCTGTAAACGAAGGGAAGGACTTGGACAGTGGGATGAACTGAGTAAATGAATCACAGGTGGAGTTAAGATGTGTAAGAACCTAAAGGGATTAGATCCAAATGCAGGTCTGACTGGCTTCACATTCCAAGGATCTAGAAAGATTTTGCAAAAACTTTTTAGAATTCAAACCTAAGTCATCACACAATCCAATTTATATGTTCTTTTTTAGGTTTCTAATTCAAATGGGGCAATAAAAAAACGTAAATACGACTTATGAGCCAGCTGTAGTAGCATAAAGAACCTATAGGCATTAGTCTACCACCATATAGGGGAGATATTCTAAATATCTTTTGACTTTTATGTAAAAAACAACAAATGAGAACCTTTAGAATGAGAATCCAGTCAATGTTACAATCTCCCTGAAGAGAGGGCTGTAAATGAATAAGATATGTAATTCAGACCTAAACAAAAAGGTTGTTCTTGAAGGTAGGATCACCTGGAATCAGCTTAATGTGTGTCTGATAATCTTTAATCGAACTTCAAAAATGCCTCCATGCTTTCAATCAAAACTAAGGCAACACCAGAGGCTCACTATATACCCCCAAAAGGCGTTATAAAGTAACCCCATGCTTGCAGGAGTCGAAATAGATTAAACTTTTGAGATTTTTCCATAGCTTAATGCTAACAGTTGTTTCCCTCATTTTGAGAAATTATCAGAACTGATTCGTTTTTTATAAAATCCTAATCACTTTAAGCTGATCTCAGGTCTGCACAACTTTTGAGAACCTAAATTACAGACAAACTGCAGACGTTTTTCCCCAAGTCATTCTGCTATAAAGCTCACAGTCACACAGAGCAAGAACAGCTCTAAATAATGCTAAGTAGTAACAGTAGTCAAGTAGAAATGGCACTCGGAAACCAATGAAATATATAACGGTATAAGTTCAGGTAAACAAAAAAAAAACAAAAACACCATCAACCACAACATCAACTACAACATCAACGGCTGGGCGTCACCCTAGAACGTTTAGCCTCTAAGATCTCGATGTTCACACTCCACAGGTGCTGAATTTCAACCTAATGCCTCAGTATGATCAGTCCTTGAGCTTGTAGAAGTCCCAAAACCACCTTTATCAAAGCGAGCATTGAATCCAGTCTTTAATGGCCGCATGTTTCAGGCCGTCTCTGCGGCAGGACTTTGCCTTTATGAATCCAGAGGTTTTATCGCTCTTGCATCATGTACCGGTGGCTCTGTTGAGTTATACATGAAGGTGTTGATCAATGCAGCATGAACACAGGGTATAAAGATCCGTCAACCAGACTCAAGAGTCTCTCTCCATTCAGTAAGGTTGAGGATTTCATGAGCTTACGAGAACCATCCCCTTTCCTTCCAATGCCAGCTCATGTCTCTACTTGTGAAAGAAAAAGTTTGAACATTTCCTCTACTGGAAATGCTTAGTCAATTGGCTGAAATCACTGTGCTCTTTTTGCCTGCCAAGGTATGTTTCTACATCATGGGACATTTGTGAAACTTGGCAGCAAGCGTATGGCGATACCCACCCTTTATACCAGACTTGCAAAAGATCTTAGCTTTTGTTTGTATAGTTGGTGAAGTCAACGAACTTGCACCTAAAGGTAAACTTCTGTTCCTTCAGGAACTGCTAGAAATAAGCACCAGCCCCGCACACCCTTGTAAAACTTAAGGGTATTACAGATTGATGTGTCATCTCTTTAGTAGAATGAGTTGTATCAACAAACTTCGTGACCATGTGGTGGACTGGGAGTCTGCCCACGGTGTGTCCTGTCAACTGACCGCGGGAGATAAGAGTACCCTTCCCTAAACGGCAACAAGCATAATGGAAAATAAGTTTCTTGGTTGGAAGGATTTCTGAAGGATGAAGGAGTAGGGCTCATCGTAACGCTGTAGCACAACACAACTGCATTGGCTAGAATGGCTTCTATTGTTGACAGAGAGAAAAAACACACACAAACGACAGAGTCTGTGCGAGGGGTAAGCCTCATCTCTAAGTTTTCCACCAAAAGACTCCCCCAGATGATTCTAGAGCCATTTCCAATTCTTATGGGTCTATTTATTCTGTTAAACGGAAGATAATTCCCTTCATGAATTCGTTTTACTGATTTTTAAGGTGAGCTGAAAACAAGGCAGCACATACAAAACAACTACTACCAAGTCTGCTTCATTGCTAAAATATACTCCATCTCTGTGTCACAAAATATGTACACTGACTTATCTATCAAGCTCACAATGTACGAAACGTCAACCTAAAAATAAATCTAACTCTCTGAATAGGATTGCCGTAACTATATCCTTTCAAGGCCTTGAAATGTCTTTGCTTTGTCTGCAATTTGTATTTTTCTTCAAATTCCCTAGAAGTTAAGGACGTAGGAGAGATGTTTGACAATGAAGAGATCCACAAAGTGACGGAGATCGTGGCGTCGACAGCTTATTGTTTGATCTGACCTCACGCTCCGAGAAAGAAACAAAGGCAGGATGATGACACACTCTGTCTCTGCTCTCTTTGGGGCTTTGTTTTGGTCTATAAGCATCCATTGTTTGTTTACATTCATCTAAGAGCTTTTCTCTGCTGAGATGTCGACGCGATACAAGCCAATCTGAGCTGTCCGCCTTGAATTTTCCCCCACTTGGAATAAAAACTGCAAACCAGCCGCCTAATTCCGCTCTCCTGACGGACCCAGCCATCAAACGTCCTCCTCAATCAATGAATCAGTCTTCCCTCTGTCAATCAAGCGCCGTGAATCATCCTCCTACACCGGTCTCTTTTCCTTTCTCAGAGCAAGCCAACTTGTCCCCGGCACACTTCCAAACCGCCGTCATCATCCAAGACGGCATGGAAGATATCTCCGCCTAAATGCTCGACTATTTAAAGACATTCATTTATGAGCAAAAGACAGAAAGCGTCATTGCCTTGAGGGGCACGATTTCAATCAAGATGTTTGCAGTTCTTGTACCATATTTGCGTCACAAGAGATTTTTGAAGTTTCTATGTGCAAATTTATATAGTTTGGCTCAATATTGGAGATGAATATCAGTATGTTAAGAGAATTTAATAAATTCTGTTGATTAGAGTCAATGAAGATTGGGTTAAAGTGAGTTTTATTAGGTGCAGATGTAGAGATCTGTCTGTGCAGAGCTGTCTTGGGGTAAGGAAGTTTGTTCGTTTCACAATAGCTGCTGCTTTTTAGTTTTATAGTCCTGAAATTAAACAGACGCTTCTCAACCTACTGAAACGTGACACTGCAGCCCATAAAACCGCCAGCTTTTCATACCAAATCTTCTACCCAACGCTGGTCCTTTCCTCTCAACATTGACAACCATGGCTGTTTAGAACCATCTCCGATCGTTTGATGGCTGACTCTCCAGGTCAGAAGGAGAAACTGTTTAAACCTGCTGCTTTCTGTCGATTACACTTTCTCCATGACGATGATGACTTTGCCGTTTTCTTCAGGGGTCGAAGAGGTGACAGAGGTGGAGGGGTTGCAGGGTGTGAGTTCGTCCTCTGTGCTCATCTGACTTCTCGCTGGGCAATCCACACTATCATGCATGTCGATGTTCTTTTTTTCTTCTTCCTCGTCTTCTTCTTCGTCTTCCTCCTCCTCCTCCACTCGACATCTGCACACTTCAATACCGGAGTCGCCGGTAAGGCGGCGGTGCCTGTACTGGCTCTCGTCAGCTCCCATGTCATCCTCTTCGTCCTCCTCTTTGTCCCCGTCGCCCTGCTCCTCTTCTCCGTCTTCCCAGCATGCGGGTCCAGGTTCAAAGACGTCCACACACGGGGAGAAGACAGTTTGTTTTGGTGGAGACTGAGTAGCGCGGGGTGACGGGGAGAGGGAGGAGGCATGGCCAGAGGAGGAACCGCCTTTGTCGGGCTGGTGCAGAGCAGTTAGGGGATCAAGTAGTAATGCTGGTGCTGCGTGACAAGGAGGGGATCTGGGTGAGGACGGGGAGACGACTGCATGGGGTGAGTGAGAAGGAGTGAAAGAAGTTTCAGACTCAATAGTAATTGCTGGGCAAGAAGAGGAACAGTTTACAGGAGCTTGACAAGTGAGATCTGGAATTAGGGTTGGTGATCCTGACCCAGAGCCTGTACTACAGCTAGCCTGAATATCTGAAGGCAATGGTGCAAGAAGTTTTGACTCATGCGATCCTGGACTAGGTCCAGAATCATCTGCCGATAAAGTCAAAACAATAGAAGTTGCAACAATGGCAACAGATGCTGACGGGTCTGATCCAGGGCTTGAAGGAGACTGGATCAGACCTGATCTAGGTGAGGGCTCCAAGTGTTGAGTCAAAGGAGATGAAACAGGTGCTGTCATCGTACCTTGGGTAAGATCTAAATGTGTTGGTTTTGGAGGGGTGTTAATGATGGTGTCTGGGATGATAATGCTCGGAAGGTTCGGAGGAGCTAAAGTTGCTTCAGACAGCAGTGGTTCTTGGTCCTTTTTAAGGTTTGTAGGTACTGTAGTTTGGGTAGGGGTTACAGACGCATCAGCTGGCACACTGCTAACATCCTGATCTGGGGTTAGAAGGCTGGCAGAGTCTGCTTTGAAGGCCATAGTTCTATGAACATCTGGAGACGGTGTTGAAGGACTAGAGGGAGCACTGGTTGGATCAAAAGTTCTTGATACATCAAGGGCTTCCAGAGCTTCGACAGGCCCACAGCTTCCAGAGGAGTTAGCTGTTGGGGTAGAAGGCCCTGACTGACTTCCAGTTCTCATGATTTTAATGGATGGGGGTTGGATGGCATCAAGTCTTGGACTGGGGAGTGTACTTGAGCTACCGGTGCTGAAGATCGGAGAACATGGCGGCATCTCTAGCTGTGTGTTCATAGGAGAGGAAGCTGCAACAGCGAGGGCAATCTCAGAGCTAGGTGAAGGCTGAGACGAGGCTGCCCTGGTAACAACTGCCACAGTAACAGTCTGGCCAGGAAATGAAGAGTCCGTGGCCGGGAGTTCCTGAGCTCGGACTTGTTCGGCACCCTCGATGTCAACCGCTACCGTGCCAGCTGCTCCATCGGAGGTAAATCGCGCCCCGTTTGCCTCCAAGCAACTGGCTGCAGCTGCTATGGTCTCCATAGTGACATCAAGGGTGAGGGGCATGGCCTCGCTGGGTGTGGAGGCATGACTTGTGTCAGTCTCATAAGTGATAGGTGCAGAGAGCGAAGAGCTACATGGAGAAGAGGGGCAGCAGGAGTCGCAGGAACAGCTGGAGCTGCAGACAGGAAACAATTTATGACGAAGGGTCTGAAATCAATCTGCGATGAGTACTAGAACGGCATCATCAAAGTTCGGTTCGTTAGATCAGCAGAAGTTTTACATCTACCAGTTATAAAGGGTCTCAAACCTGTTAGAGCTGAAGGAGGAGGGTCCATCACTGAGCGGTCGGTGCAGCAACGGACCGTGCTGCGTAAGCAGATGTGGGTCGGCAGCACGAGGGGGCTGCGGATATCGTGGAGTCGTAAAAACAGAGCTGTAGGGAGGAGGGGGTGTGGAGGGCTGAGCCGCAACCTCCTCGTAGGAGGGTAACTTTAGAGATGCCAGGAAACCTACAGAGAGAACGAGAGAAAGAAGAACAGAGAGAAACTTGTTTTTTAAATTGTGTCAACATCAACAAACCGAAACGATCAAATGCAAACTTAAATGGATAAAAAGCCAAGAGACACACAAAAATGTATCATTTAGATAAAGACAGACACAATCATTTTTCAGAGAGTTTGTTTCATGTCTGAGGAATGGGATCCTGCCTGCTCTACTTAGTTTAGCTCCAGGAACATGAAAGGAACATCATGAAAGGAGTGGTCTACTAGGTTCATAAGTGACTAAAATCCGATTTATTTAGTCGCAAACTTTCTACTTTAGACATACACTTTATAAAGATATAAAATTGAATTCAGAATGTTTCTGCATGTTTTGTTTTCTCATAAAGTTATAATTTTCTTGTAATTTTTGTAACCAAAAACATTCCCTTGTCTTTTTTTACATTAAACTGACATCTCACCTATTCACTTAATGATTTGTTGACAAGTTCCTTTGTGAGTCAACTGGATGATAGCCAAGTAGTAATAAAGATGTTTGCCCTACCCTATTGAAACCGCGCTGAGATCGGTCTGAGTGCGGGAACCGAGATAACTGTTGAGTGTACATGGCATGCCAAACTGAACTGGACCGTACCAGACACAACTGAACCGCGCTAAACTGGTACTAGTTCAACAGTAGGGCTCGGCATGTTCAGTTCGGGCTCGGTTCTCACATAACAAAGAGCGTATGAGCAGGACCGCTTCATCTCCTTACAGCCTGCCTCCATAATCATGAAACTTCAGACATTCGTAAAAATACTTGCTTCCCTACCGTGACACACGATTTCCAGTGATGATTCTGCTTACCAGTGTGATTAACCTCAACGTCTTTCATTGTTTCCTGCTTCTGTAAGCCCTTATTAGCCCTTGTTGTATCCACATTCCTAAAGCAGACTGTCAAGTAAATTCACCACAGGCTGCCTTCTTCGCCTAACTCTCAGCAAAGTTCTTGAATGTTACAGGCAGCGCCATGTTGATTTGATTGTTTCCCTCTAGAGAGCAGTAGTACCGTAGATCGCCACTAGGAGGCGAGGAACCATGCTAGCATGGTGTGCACATGGTTGTACGGAACTAAGCTTGGCATGGATCAGTAGTGTAAATGGGGCTTAAGTCATCAGCATAGAAATGACGTTTTGGTAGATATAGTAAGTCCATAATTAGTTTCATAATGTGAGCCAGGAAAATTATATTGATGTTGTGGAAAAATTAAGCCATAAGGAACACACATTTGATCTTTTTTCATTCAGATTTGTTATCCTCAAGGGATACAAAGTAGGAACAGATGGTTAAATATGATCTGAGCCAGTTTGGCAAAGTAGCAGATGATCTGAGCCACTCTTCAAATCTGTCAATCAGGAAGTTACGATGAGCTGAATCTAAACATAGAACCAAGATTTAGTTAAATTAAGACAGAAGCAGTTTATGCATTGCTGTTGAGATATTTTTAGAAGTGAGAAGATATGAGATAAGAAAGGCGTAACAAAGAAATAGTCAAGTTACAAAATCAATCTCCAGTTAGCAGGAGATAAATAAAAAAAATCAACAAATGTCTGTGAGCTGTGAACACCTGTTCTACCATTTATTTCCAAATCATCGCCACCACAATGTTTGACATCAAACGGTCTCTATTGGATTTAGTTCTGTGGATTGTTCTAGCAACTGTGACCTTTATGTTTTCATTCATGAGCCAAAATCTTTTGGCTTACAGGTTAGTTTGGTTCATTTTCTTTTTTTATATATTTAAAGAACTCATGTAGTACTTATCTAAACTTAACCATGGTCCATGTGTTAGAAATGGCTGACAACACGGTTTCAAAATACATCACTAGTGCTGCACTGATACTGATACCAGTATCGGGCAGGGCCCCGATCCAGCACTAAAATGGTGGTATCGGTATCGGCGAGTACCAACAAATAGGGCACCGCTACCATTTTGAGAGCCAAAAGTTTCTTCAACTATTGTCACCCATTCCAGGTTGGCAATAAAAGGTTCTACTGGATTCACTTTTCATTAGTCTTTTTCCTGCTTCACAAAGGTAGGCAGGAGCTTGACAAATTATTTTACATCCAAGTAGTATGAGGTTCTTCATATATACACAAACACACTGATTTTAAACAGATGGTATCGGTATCAGATGGTATCGGTATCAGATGGTATCGGTATCAGCGCAACACTAATCATCACATCCACGAGTCAATTTGAAGGTTGACTAACTAACTGTCTAAGTCTCTGGACCCAAAAAAAATAATAATTTCAAGTACCTGGCCGTCAAAACTATAAGTCCTTTTTATTCAGGTAAGATCAGCCAGTTCTTTGGTCAAGTGTAATTCTTTCCAAACACGTCCAGGTTTTTGAACAGTGGGACCTTTCTTGGCTCCTCATTGGCCTCTTCTAATTGCTCACAGGTACCAGTTGACCTTCGATCATTCTGCAGCTAATCATTAGGCAAGTTTTTGCAGAGACCCGTTAAATAAACAATTCACATAAGTAAAGGCATGTACATTAAAACTTCATGGTCTATCGGCGTTCTATAACACTAACACGCCTACATGTCAACTATCTAAAGAGTAAAGATGTATAAGAGGGACTTATTTGGTCGAAGGATTTGGATGACTTATTTTTTTTACAAATTCAACTTATTTTGTTGTGTATCAATGACCTTTAACCCGTGCCGAGACCGGTCCGAGCTCAGTAACTGAGATAACTTATCGTGTGTAAATGGAAAGCAAACTGAACTGAACCGAGCTAGACACAACTGGACCACGATAACTGCAGACCAGTTCCAGAGGTGGGCTCGGCTCGGTTCTCTGATAACAAGAGCGCATGAGGAGAACACGTCATCTCCGTCTGGCTGCACATCGCCATTCACAGTCCATTCCAGTAGTTGGCGGTAATGCCCCTCCGGAAGTTGCCAACCAACACAAAACAGAAGAACAACTATAGACAACTATAAACATCCACGAAAGGTTGCCGTCTTCGCCTGACCCTCCGCAAACATCGAAGTACAGCAATAATAATCAAGCATAACTTTCTGAATGTGACGGGCGCCGCCATTTTGATTTGTTTGATTCCCTCCTCCTTCGTCTTCTTATTCTTGTGTTTTATGGCGGTTGGCAACAACTTTTGGTCCATTACTGCCACCAACTGCTTGATTCCGAGCTCGGCCTGGTTAACTGATCCGAGCTCGGACCGGTCTCGGCATGGATCGGTTTTTCAAGGGTAGTGTAAATGGGGTATTTATTACCTCTAGAACAATCACTTGGTGCAGTTTTTAAGCTCTAAGGCTCTGTGAGACGCACCTGAAAGGATGAAGAGTTTCCTGTCTGGAAAATAAACCTTGAAACCTCTGAGCCGTAAATTTCCACAGAGTCGTCAGAGAAGCAGATGAGAAAAGCTTCACATCGCTTGACAGCTGAGCGTCAGCAGCAAACAAAAGCGCCAAACAAACGAGGAAGTTTGCTGTGAATGTGTTGAATGGCCACAGAGATCCTTCATTGGCTGGAAACCTAAACACTGTTTCCACTTAGAGAGCTTTTCTGCTCAAAGGATGGCAAAGAGCTGTGGGCTTTTCAAAACAGCATGAATCACGTCTGCCTTTCGAGAATAAAACAGTGCAGAACAGACACAACGTTACAGTGAAATTATTACAAAAAAAGAGCCTTGAGAAAAGATTCACTTTCCTTTCACTTTTCCACAAGTTTTAACCAGGATCTTCAATGAGTTTCACTGGGATTTATCGTGAAACACAGACAAAATAGTGCAGCTTGAAGACAATCTTAGCAGACCGCGGACCGGATCCGGACCCACCTGCTGACTAATCCGGACCCAACCTGATTTAAAACATTTATAAATTACTGCATTTTGTATGAAGATGGTGTCTAACTTCACTTGCGCCGCTTCTCCTACTAATACTGTAAAGCCCTATGGAGCGTCTGGGACCAGGCTGTACGTGATCCAAACAGCAGGCAAACCTGTGGCAAGTTCTAAGGGATTGAAAACTTTCATAAAGTTGAACATATCTGCTTTAGGTCAGAGCAGTAAAGGAGGAGCCTCCTGATGAGGTCAGACTCACTGAGGTCCAGCATGGAGGAGGGGAAGGAGTTGGCTCCGTGGTAGGCCAGCAGGCTGATCTCTCTCTGCCGCTGCTGCTGCTGGACGCGGAGTTTGGCTCGGCGGTGTCGGTAGGCGCAGCAGCAGCTGAAGAGGATGAGGACGGTCCACAGCAGCCAGAACCCTGAAACCACACAGAGAAACCAACATTTAGTCCATATTGAACACCTCTGGGTTTATAACCAAGAAGGAATAACAGCAGCAGAGCAAAAGGATATTTTTTGTTTCCTTTTTAGCTAAATCAATTGCTTATATCCTCATAATTGATGCCTTTGGTTCAGATTTAGATTGAATTAGGAGAAAATAACACCCAGAACTGTAAAATAAATTAATCCTTTATTCAGCCACAAATATCTATATCTGGATTTTTCTGGATAGGGAAAAAAAAACAGTTGTGATAAATGTTGATGAACCTCCTCATTGTTTATTTCTCCACAGTAATCCTGATGAAATGATGCAGCTCATTCAATGGAGGATAAGCAGGTTCAGTGGACATGTCTCCTTCCTGATCAGATTCTCCTGCTCATGCTGTGACCTAATATTGACCTCTGACCTCTGAGGCTGCGGCTGTAGCAGGATGGGGCATGAAACAGTTGTAAACTGTTGTAAAAATTCACGAAAATCCTTCAAAATACCTTTAACTCTTTTTTAAATAGCAGAAAGAGAAGCGCTTCTCTCTCTGCTTGCAGGTTTTGGCTGCAGAGCTGCGTTTGACTCCCTGCCAGCGCTTTGGGGAGGTAGAGGCTCGCTCCCCCTCTCCTCACTAAAGAAGGCCGTTAAACTGTGAGCAAGAGGGGACTGACGAGTCACGAAGCTGGAAACTGTGCGTTAAACTGCCTCTTCTCCATCTTCCCTTTCTTCCTTCCCATCAGGGGTTTTTGTCTGCTCAGCAGACGGTGGTTTGGATTTGTCCTAACAGCTTTATAACTTTGTTCCCCACAGGGGGGATTGACACTGGTCACGATCGGACCAATGAGGACGTACGATACGCAGGCGGAGCCCATGGGAGATGGAGAGTCAGAGTCCCATTTAGATTTGCTTTTTATTTCAGGAAATAGAATCCAATCTGTCAAAGATGCCCCCCCCCCATAGCTGAGATTCCCCCACAGTAGTCGGAATAGTGGGTTTTAATGCCAAACGCAGCTTCTCAGGCTCCTCCTACAGTTTAAAAACAGGACTTTCAGTGTTTAACTCCTGTCAGACTGATTTGGAGATTTTGGTCTCTTATCCAGTGTATTACGCTGTTCGTAGTCCATTGGATCAATGTACTTGTCTTTAAGGGAGCGTTTTAATCAGACTGAAGAACAAACTTCATTTAGAGACTAACAGCTGGTTTGGTTTGAATCGTTCTCATGCTGCAGAATCAGCTGAGCTTAAAGTTTCTGATGGAGGATCCTCTCGTTCTGGGAAAGACCAGAATTCCTGCTTCCACCAATCGCTGCATATCATGGATTCAGCAGAGCTGCCCCACATCACCACCCTACCGCCACCATGTCTGACTGTAGGATGTTCTTTGTTGGTTTCATGTCAGGTGAAGCAGGACAAACACCTGCCAAGAAACGCCGCTTTGTCTAATTTTATTAAAAAAACAAAAATCCCTGAAAAGTTTAAAACCTTAAAGAACCGTCTCATATTCAGCACACATTTCTTTGTGTTCTTTTGGACCAGCAGCGGTTCTGGTCTTTGGACTCTTCCATAGAAGCCTAATATTCCCAGCCTGTCTTTCTTATTATAGAGTCATGACCTTTGACCTTCTCTGAGCCAAGCGAGGCCTGCCATGACCCAGACATTGTTCTGGGAGCTCCTAGATGATAAAGTTATTTGGAATATTTTCCATAGGTATCTGATAGGGCTGTAACTAACTATTATTTTGCAAATTGATTTTTAAAAAATTTTTTTTATTAATAATAAAATAGAAAAAGGTCACTTAAAGATCTTTAGGTAAATTAAACCAGATGAAACTCAAACTTTTCCACTTGTAGAGTTCTGCATAGAGCATATTAAGAATAGTTTCTATCTTAAATGCACAATTTTTACATATTTTCTTTACAATCTTAGTATATTACTGCTCTAATTGGGTCGCTCTGCCGGCTAAAGGCATGTTTTAGTCTCTATGCTCCAGTTAGCAATTAATCGATTACTAAATTAATTGACGATTATTTCAGTAATCGATTAGTCACGATTATTTAGCCCTAATAGATAATCAGGTCCTCCATTCATGTATAATAATCCTTCCTGTTGTTCTGTGCAGCTCTACAGCCTCAGAAATGGTTGATTAACCCTTTCTACACTGATAGAACCATAAGATCAATGCATAATGAGTTGCTTCAGTCTACTTCATGTTGTCAGACAGGTCCTATTTAAGGCCGAGACGTAATCAAACCAGATGAGGTGCGATTTAACCCCAATAATCTCTAGTTTTATTGAGTTAATTTATGATTTCAGGGGCTAATACTATTATTTTTTTAATGTTCTGAATGGTCTGATTTATTCCTTAAGAAATAATATCTTCATTTATGAAACCGTATTTTATTGATTACAAAAAATATGCAAAACACTTTTAAACAAAAAATTTCATAAAAACTATGTCAAAATGAAGTAAATGTTTAATAAAAAAAAAGATCTTTAAGCTAACTGTTTTCTTAAACTCAAGCTAGCGCGTAAATTGAGGCGTTAACTTACACCAGAGTTCGTAGTAGTAGGTGCAGCAGCCGGTCTCTCCGCAGCAGTGTCCCGTCTCACACAGGTACCCTCCGTTAGCGTTAGCTCCGGGGCAGTACCGCGGTCTCCCCAGCAGGGGCAGGCTACCACCGGAGTGGTACTCCATCGCACCCCCGCTGATCCCCTCCGTTACGCCAGAGCCGCCGCTTCCCGCCTTCCTCGAGCCGCTAACTGTCCGTTAGCCGCTGAAAAGTCGACGCTAGTCGCAGTCCACCTACATTTTAACGCAGTTTGGTTTCCAACTGAACTTCCTCTCTGAAGTAAAAAAAAAAAAAAGTTTGTTTTTAAACCTTTAGATGAAAAAAAGTCCCACAGGAATTACTGATCTACATCTTCAGCTGAAACAGTCGGCGAGTTGAAGCCGCAGTACGGAGCAGCTAGCCGGGCAGCGTCCAGGTCATGTTTTAAACGCACACAGAGAGGTTTCTGCAGCTAAGCGCTGCGAGCTGTGCTGCAGCAGCAGGAGCAGAGGAGCGGCTGGTGGGGCGAGACGAGACCACGGCCAAGAGGACGTCCTGGGCTGCAGAGAGAGAGAGAGAGAGGAAACAATGCTTTATTGATAAACAACAACAGAGCGTGACACACAGCCACTACTACAGGCCTGTTTGATATGCAGCGCTGCACCGACTTAACCTCAAGAGACACAATGCTGCCACTCTGTCCCACACTCTCACATTCCTACAGAGAGCAGCTTGGAAATCAAACAGCAATGCAGCTCAATCAGAATCAGAAATACTTTAATAATCCCAGAGGAATTTACTTTTGTTACACGCTCCAGTTACAGTTTTATATGATAATCATCATCAATCAGATGGGAAAACTTTGGAATCTCCATTTCTACAAGTTTAGTAATAACTTCACTTATATTTGTTAGAAACGCACTACAAATAAAACAACTAATATTTCAT